AATTAAATCTTTATTGTTCAGATTATTACATTGGTTCCTCTTTTTTCCCACCATAACTCCCCTCCACCCAGTTCCCACCCCACCCTCCGCCCTCACTCCCCACCCACTGTCCTCATCCATAGGTGCACGATTATTGTCCAATCTCTTCCCGCACCCCCCACACCCCTTTCCCCCTAAGGGGGGACAGGATTTGAACCCAAGATGGTTTAACTCTAAAGACCAGACTTTTAACCACACCAGTAGAGTGACATTTCCAGCTCCCTATCTTGAGCATGAAGTGGTCTATCTGCCCCCAGCACAGAGGTGATGTGGCCCCATCTCTTGGTTCCCAGTGTCCACCATGGAAGGGGCTTGCAGGGAAGGCATTCTTCCAGTGCACAAAGCAAGGTGTAAACCCTGGAGACCAGGAGCCCTTGGGTGCAGAGGGAACCAGCTCGGGGACTTTATCTCTGCCATTGGCTGTCACCTTCTGCTCCAGTTCCTCAGCCTATCCCCTGAAGTCATCACCAGGTCTGAGCTGCTATATTAGGGAAGCTGGACAGATCAGGGAGAATCTGACCAAGGTGTGGGGGTGTGAGAGCTACACACATCCACAAGGTTTTTCTTCTGTCAAAGAAAATTAAAAGGAAAGACACTGGGTTCCAAGAACAGTTGTCTTGTCTTGTGTGAATCCTGAAAATAAGGGAGGAGTAGAAGAGGCAGGAGGGGGGAGGATCATGAAGAGAGCAGGAACCTAATTAAGGTCCACAGGAACTGCTAAGGAAGCAGCAGCCATTCAATCACTCTTGCTGGCCTCCAGTTGGTAACTGGCTGAATTTATCCTGCACCAATGAGTACTGGCTCCTAATTATTGTGCTATTTTACTAGCTTACTTCTTGTACTTTTGTTGTAAAGCTGTGCGTCCCAAGGTTTGGCATAAGTCAGACTCCGGAGGTTTTTTTAATGCATAGTTTGTTGAGCCCCACTCCCAGAGATTATGATGTGGTAGGTCTAAGGTGAAACCTGAAAATATCTATTTCTCACAAGCTCCAAGGCAATGCTGGTGCTGCTGATACATGGACCATACTTTGGTTTACGCAGGTCCAGAGGACCCCCAAACATTTATCTCATCTAGTAGGTGTGTGACTATCACTTCTTCCCAGCAAAGCCTGGATTTCAATTTCGGTTTCTGAAATACCCCCTAGATTCAAGATTTAATCAACCCTTCACATCACATAATAGTCTAGGAACTTTAATAAAAAGTTTGTCTCAAAACTGAGGAATTAAAGTAAACTATTTTTAAATTATATTCCAGGAACAAAATCCTAGAGTCAGAAGCACAGCTGTATTTAAAGCAGTGAATCCGTAAGCCAATTGGAGGGGCCGGACCAGGAGGAATTCAGCCATGTTAGAATCAATCACCATCTGTAGCCATGTTAACCCTGTGCTTCATTAACCCTCCAGGTTTCTAGCTCATGTGAGCTCCTACACGGAGACGCCAGTGGTGGCCTGCATCGTGTCGGGGTTCCTGGCGGCTCTCCTCTCGCTACTAGTCAGCCTGAGAGATCTGATAGAGATGATGTCCATCGGCACACTCCTTGCCTACACCTTGGTCTCTGTCTGTGTCTTGCTCCTTCGATACCAACCAGAGAGTGACATTGATGGTTTTGTCAAGTTCTTGTCCGAGGAGCACACAAAGAAGAAGGAAGGCATTCTAGCTGACAGTCAGAAGGAAGTATGTTCTCCTGTAAGTGAAGGAGAAGAGTTTTCTGGCCCTGCCACCAACCCATGTGGGGCCAAGAACTTACCATCCTTGGGAGACAATGAGATGCTCATAGGGAAATCAGACAAGTCAACCTACAATGTCAACCACCCCAACTACGGCACCGTGGACATGACCACAGGCATAGAAGCCGACGAATCTGAAAACATTTATCTCATCAAGTTAAAAAAGCTGATCGGGCCCCGTTACTACACCATGAGGATCCGGTTGGGCCTTCCAGGCAAAATGGACCGGCCCACAGCAGCTACGGGGCACACGGTGACCATCTGCGTGCTCCTGCTCTTCATCCTCATGTTCATCTTCTGCTCCTTCATCATCTTTGGTTCTGACTACATCTCAGAGCAGAGCTGGTGGGCCATCCTTCTGGTTGTTCTGATGGTGCTGCTGATTAGTGCCCTGGTGTTTGTGATCCTGCAGCAGCCAGAGAACCCCAAGAAGCTGCCCTATATGGCCCCTTGCCTCCCCTTTGTGCCTGCCTTTGCCATGCTGGTGAACATCTATCTCATGCTAAAGCTCTCCACCATCACATGGATCCGGTTTGCCGTCTGGTGCTTTGTGGGTAAGCAACTTCCTCGGGAGCCTTGAGAGTTCCCTTTTAAGGCATTGAACAGCTTATCCCAAAATAACCTTCTTGCTGGGCTAGGTATTACCATTCCAAGAAAAATCTGGCTGGTTCTATGGACACTTGCTTTCTGCATTAGAGTCAAGAAAGTCAGTTATACCCTTTCTGCCTACTGTGGTCTTGGTCGTTGGTTCTGAAGAATGATGCTGATCAATGCATCACTTCCATGAATACTATTGCTAGACAGTCTTCTTATGGATAGTTAATACCATAAAAAGTCCACTTTAAATGAATCCACATAAAAAAGAGGAGAAAACAGCATTATAAACGTGAGGGTGGGAAAAGTTGATTGGCATTCTATCTTAGAAACTAAAAATCATGAAGAAAAAGTATTTGACAAAATTAAATTAAAATAGGAACCATGCCATACTTTTTTAAGTGAGCAAAGTGTAAATTAAGTATGCATTTTTTGGCATCATTTTCGTCTGATAAAATTGCATTATGGCACCATTTAACATCCCTCAATTCATATTGACTTTCATAAACTATTCAAGATTTTTTCATCTCCCCCTCCCCCCAGGTCCTATCTTCTCCTTTGATATTCCAAGCATTCTCTTGGGAAGTATCCATCACGTCATCATCCTTCTGTTGATAACTGAGATGGGTCTGTCAGGTCCTTAATTGTTCACAGCTTTGGGTATGAATTAGAGTTGCTCTCTCTAAGCTCACTTTCATTGCCTTCAAGAAGTTCCGTACCTTCCCCAAGATTTCTAATTTTCCTTTGTGATCTACTTATATTATATTCACAATAGATGTTTATCATATCTAACAATCACTGATTTTATGAGATGGCTGGGGATTGGTGCTAATAGTAACCTGAGAGGGATGTTTAACTGGAGACTGATTTTAAAGTTCTTTAGTCACTATTTTTATGTTCCCTATACAACTTGGTAACCCTAGGGTCTCTGTTAACAAATACTTAGTTAAGGAGGATCCTTAGGTGCTTTGAGGAATAGGAAAGCAATAGAATAAGTAACTCCTGCCTTAAGGAGAGGATAGAAAAATATGCATGAATCAACTAGCCTGGTCAAGACAGTACAGAGATTCATGGATTAGTAAACAATCCACTCCTTGAGGCCAGGGATATAAGTGTTCAACATTATGGCCTCTGTGCCTGGAACATAGTAGGTGCTTAATAAATACTTCTCTGTTATTATAAAGCACTCATTAAATGAGAAACAAAGAAACTTCCTATCACAATAGCCAGAAAGGACTTTGAGGAGGTAGAATTGGAACTGAGCCTATAAGGTAAGGTTTAGATAGAGGGAAGTGGGGGGGAGGGGGAGGGGGGGCATGGTACTCAAAGGAAAAAGCATATGTCTTCCAGCAGATTCCTCTCCTCTGAAGGACATTCTGTACCTTCCTATAAGTATTTTGTTTCAATTTTCCAGTCTTCTAAGTCTCATCCCTTGTTAGACATTACGGGTATTTCCCCAGGGGACAACATCACTAACTTGTCAAAGTTTTAACCATTTATATGATTCATTCACAATCTCTCTTCTCTGTTTAAACATTTTCCACTGGAACATGTAGCTAAGCAATGGAAAGATCCTATGATGGGTAGAGTGACTGAAGTGGATAGAAATATTTTAGTTATATATTTGTGAAATGAATGAAGGTATAGACACAAAGATACATGGACTTACTGAATCATCGCTAGACTATTAAAGCTGGAAGGGGCCTTCACTTTCTAGGTCAGTGTTACCCACAGTGGGGTGACTATTCCATTGGTAATAGTTGGGCTGATTTTAGAGGGTACATGAATAAACTTTTTATAATTACTATACATCTTCACATTACTAGAAAAAATAAACATACTCATATAAATCTGGTGATTATTTTTTAATTTAAAAAGGGAGTCAAATTAAGAAAACCATTAGTACTAAATAGTACCAGTGCTATATGATTCATAGTAATAATTAACATACATAACACTTATCACATAGTCATTATTCTGAGGGCTTTCTTTATATTAACTTATTTAATCCTCACAGCAATCTCCATCTTACAGATGAGGAAACTGAGGTATCTGACCGAGGTTACATCGCTAGAATATAGCAGAGCCAAAATTAGAACTCAGGTAGTGTGGGTCCAGAGTCCATGGTCATAGCCACTACACTAAAAATGTGATATATAAATAAAGTTTTAAAAACACTAATATAGTCCATGGCCTTCCCCACTTGTCCCTCTCTCAATTTCACAGTTGAGCAAACTGAACCTCCAAGAGGTTAAATTACATGATCAAGGTCAACAGGAAGTTACTCGTGGAGCTATTACTACAATCCAACATCTCCATGCTCAGATCTGGGGCTCCTACCTCCCTACCACGTGCCTCTGAGAAGACCTTTTTATTGGATCAGAAAGTTTGATATGTAGTTTGTGTGGATCAACACATAACATCAGGCAGGGCTGGCTTCCTGGGCCTACGAACTGTGCAGTCACACAGGACCCCACACTTGGCTGAATACTCTGTTGCTGCCTTCTTGAATTCTTAACAATTTTTTAACAAGGGGCGCCATGGTTTCATTTTGCACTGGGACCCACAAATTAAGTAGCTGGTTCTACACGATATCTATGGTCTCTGGAACCCCAAAGGCATTTTGCAAAGGTGGTGAGGTGGCAGGGACCCTTGCCTTTAGAGTCAAACATCACTGTGTTCAACTCACAACTCTGCCACCTTTGTCTTGTGACCTTGGGAAGTTTACTTAACTCCTTTGGGCCTCAGTTTATAAGTTACTCATCTGCAAAAATGCAGATAATTTACTAGCTTTGATGTGGTGGCTGTTTTGGGGCTTAAATAAGAAAATATTGGGGAAAGCAACGAGAACTATTTCTTTCCTGCCTTTCTTTTCAAAACCTGAAGTGATTCATTGTCCCCCAGACTAGCTATCACATGCCAAAGTACAGCGTGAACCTGTTCTGACTCAGGCTGCCCTCCCAGTTATCAGAGAAAACTCCCAGAGAGCCTTTTGTAATACAGTTTTGCTGATAGCACAAACTTCAAGCTCGCTCCAGAAACCGATACTCGCTGACAGGGGAGGATGCCACCCTACAGCCTGGGGCCGGCCAGACGGGCACAGGAGCCCACAGGTCAGCAAGCACCCAGCTGTGAGCTACTAACTGCTTTGGCATGGTGATCTTTGAAGGCTGGTATACTAGTCAGCTCCGCCTAGAACAAAGATGCACACATCAGAATCACCTGAGTTGTTTCTAAAACATTCTATGCCCAGGGTGTCCGCCACAGAGATTTTCTGATTCAGTTGGTCTGATATGGCCAATACCAGGGGTATTTTTTGTGTGCAGGTCATTTTAACGTGCAGCCATGTTTAAAATGATCTACAACAGTAGTTCTTAAAGTGTGCCCCGCCCCCGCAACCAGCAGTGTCAGCATCACCTGGGAACTAGTTAGGAATGCAGTTTGGACCCTATCACCACCAAAACAGAATCTCCAAGGGCAATGTAGGTTTTAACAAGCCCCCCCACCCATGTGATTTTGATGTATGCTTAAATTTGAGAGCCACTCATCTAGAGAGAAGAATAAGAAGATAATAACAAGCAAGGCAGATTACTTAATTACAAAACTCCCTGTTTTCCAAAATAAATGTTTGCTTATATAAAATACATCCATCCCACAACACCAAATTGGCTTATAAAGTCTTTAACGATATTATAGAATAAATATCCCACCTCTAAACCTCTGAGTCTCAAAAAATGTCAGATTTTTCCTCTTAATCTCTATTCATAGTATAGCTTTTCTGGAGAGAACAGTAGAGATATTTTTAAATGGAGCTTCTTATGAAACATCAGGTAATTTTTTAAAGATTTAGGCTGAGTCATAACTTGATAATCTTCCTGATACATTTTTTACCCAACCCTCTATAAATGAATCTTAATACAGCATTTTGTCACAATGTTTTCCTAAGCTTAGACCTTCAGAAGACACGACTCACAGAGTTAAATGAGGCACAAGTCCCAACAAGATTACCCAGCACTTGTTTCTTTTCTTCAGGAAAGAGAAGTAACCCAACAGCAAATGGTTAATAATCTCAACAAAATGAGCACAAAGCAGCCTTCATTCTCCTTTTCTCTTGGCTGATGCAGTTTTGTGAAGACCACCTCAAAGAGTTGGGCAGAGTCTCAGGGATATGAAAGTAGGAGGGACCAGAGAGAACACTGTGCAATGGGTTTTCAAGAGCGTCTTTCAGGTCAACTCTTCCCTATGGGCCATTATTATGAATCAATTATCTGTTAGACCAGTTTGTGGGCTCCCTTCCCTTGAAGGCTGCCAAGTTTTCATCTGAAATGTTTTCAGTCCCTCTGAGGAAAACAAACTCTTGCGTATAGATGTAGAGAACAGATAGAACTTGTGATTTGGACAATGGAGCCCATATATCCTGTACCAAAACATAAATATTCCAAAGAGAAGACACCACCTATGGTCTTTGAGCTATCATCTGAAATCTTATTGGAAATTGACCAAAGCAGCCATTGTGATAAGGGGAACAGGAGGAAAAGAAGGGGGCCATGAATTGGGAATTGAGAGGGCATGGAAATAAACAAATTCCCGATGAGCTGTTCCATACATAAGTTTGAAATTCTCCTTGTAGGCAGAGGAGAAAACCACTGGCATCTTCAACATCAGAAGAGTAAGAAAAATCATGAAGGCCAGGCTGAGGATGGCAACAGGGCCAGTGGGATTCCAAGAAGGAGGGAGTGTGGCGGTGGATCCTGCTGTAGTCAAGTATGCCTGCTGGCAGAGGGGCTGTGCAGGACAGGGAGACACGCAGGGAGGAAGGGGCGGGGTGATGAACCCAAGGGCACCTGAGAATGAAGGGAGAGAGGGCCGTCGCAGAGATGGAAGGCCCTGTCGTGGGCATGTGCAGTGCACCTGGAACAGACTTAGAGCCATGAAAGAACGGAGGCTGGGCTTCCTTCCC